GGGTGGCCAGCGTGCTTGCGAATCATCGCAGCCACGGCCCTGTTGGTCAAAGACGCTGATAAGCTCACCCTAGGGCAGCGGCTGCAGATCACCACCCCGCACGCCATAGAGGGGGTTCTGAAGCAGCCACCGGGACGGTGGATCACAAATGCGAGGCTGACTCATTACCAAGGGCTTTTGCTGGACGCACCCCGCATCGAGTTCCGGACCCCTGCCACCTTGAATCCGGCTACGCTTCTGCCAACCCCCGCTGCAGCCGCACCTGAACGTGATTGCCTTGAGATCCTAGCCGAGACCCAGACGACCCGTAGAGACTTGAAGGATCGCCCCCTCCCAGGTAGCAACCTGACCTGGTTCACGGACGGAAGCAGTTTCATCCGGGACGGACGCAGGTACACAGGGGCGGCCATAGTAGATGACCAAGGTAAACTTGTCTGGGCGGCATGCCTTCCGCAAGGGACATCTGCTCAAAAGGCAGAACTAATAGCACTGACGGAGGCTCTTAGCCGAGCCCGAGGAAAAAGGCTGACGGTGTACACTGACAGCTGCTTTGCCTTTGGGACTGTGCACATACATGGGGCCCTCTATAGGGAAAGGGGCTTCATCACAGCAGAGGGAAAGGAAATTAAGCACATGCCTGAAATACTCCACCTACTAGAGGCTGTTTTGCTGCCAAAGGCAGTGGCGGTAGTCCATACCCCGGAACACCAGAGCGGGGATTCAGTGGAAGCACGGGGCAATCGGAAAGCAGACGCTGAAGCTAAGAAGGCTGCAGAAGACACTCCGCAGCCAAACATCCTGCACCTTAGCCTGCCACCCCCAGGCATGGGACGGTTGCCTCCTCTGCCGGACTATTCCAGTGTAGATGAGGTCTGGGCCTCAGAGCAGCTATGTAAAGATGGCTGGTTGCGGGACATAGGGCATCGCCTAATAGTGCCAAAACTCTTAAGACGCCACATGTTAGAGCACCTGCATCAGACCACACAGCTAAGGAAGAGAAAGATGCTGCAATTGCTGGACACTGCTCAACTAAGGTTCAAGTCACAAGGACGGGTTCCAGATGACATCATCAAAAGTTGCCGAGCCTGTCAGGTCATGCAGCCGGGGAGGACCAGAGGGACCTACGCAGGTACAAGGGAAAGGGGGAGGTAGCCAGGACTATTTTGGAAAGTGGATTTCACAGAGGTCAAGCCTGGAAAATACGGGTACCGATATTTACTGGTCATGGTAGATAGGTTTTCCAGATGGATAGAAGCCTTCCCTACAAAAGGAGAAACAGCTTTGGCAGTAGCTAAAAAAATATTGGAAAAAATAGTCCCCAGGTATGGACTGCCGGAAGGAATAAGATCAAATAATAAGCCTGCGTTTATCTGTCAGGTTAGTCAAGGGCTGGCCCAGGCTATGGGGATAGATTGGAAATTACATTATGCATATAATCCCCAGAGCTCTGGGCAGGTAGAGCTAATAAATAAAACAATAAAGGAGACCCTGACTAAATTGGCCCTGGAGACTGGCGGAGACTGAGTGACCCTCCTTCCCTTCGCCCTGTTCCGAGCCCGGAACACCCCTTATCACTTGGGTTTAACCCCTTTTAAAATCATATATGGCACAGCCCCTCCTGTAGTTCCTAGGATGAGCCCTGAGGCTTTTCTGGGACATCCCAAAGAAGTGTTGCAAGTGGTGCAGGCTCTGCAACGTGTCCACAGTCAAGTATGGCCGGGCCTCCGTGCTATCTACCGGCCAGAGGAGGAGGGTGCCGGACACCGTTTCACCCACACCAGCCGGGGGACTGGGTGTGGGTGAAACGGCATAACAGCAAAACCCTCGAAACCGAGGTGGAAGGGCCCCTATCAAATTATTCTTGTTACCCCCTCTACTCTTAAGGTTGATAAAATAGTAGCGACCTGGATACACCACTCCCACGTTGAGACTTGCTAATAAAAAGACCAGGAGTGGTGCCAGGACCAGTATAAAAAGGAACTGCAGACCCGAAGAATCCTCTGAAGACCAGACTGACCCAAGTGGCAGTGACAGCCCAGGACCGCTGACACAGACTTGGACTGGGGTTGTAGCATCTAAAAATTGACTGAGTGACAAACATAGACGGGTCGTGGTGGGGGGTTGGTTATTGTGTTTTGGGGATGTTGTGTTTTTGGTCCAATGTTTTTGGGATAGAAACCTACAGCTGTACTTACTGCCCCAAACCCCCACCAACCCCATAACCTTACATGGGTCTAAAGATTACTGTATAATAGTGTTAGTGTTCCCAAAAATAATATACCACACTGAGGAGATAATGTATGAGGGCATAGTAGGGCAAAACGTCACCAACCTAATTTTAAAAAAAAAAAAAGAGAGCCCCTCACAGCCATAACCCTGGCTACTCTTTTTGGCTTAGGGACAATAGGAGCAGAAACTAGTATCTCTTCTCTGGCAATGCAGCAAAGAGGGTTTAATACTCTGAGGGCAGCTGTTGATAAAGATATTGCAAAGATAAAAGATTCAATTTCACACTTAGAAAAGTCTTTAACCTCCCTCTCGAAAGTAGTTTTGCAAAACCGGAGAGGGTTAGACTTGGTGTTCCTGCAATAGGGAGGGCTATGTGCGGCCCTCTGGGAGAAATGCTGTTTCTATGCCGACCACACAGGAGTGGTAAGAGAGTCCATGGCCAAAGTAAGAGAAGGGCTTGCTCGTCGCAAACGAGAGTACGAAAAACAAAGAGGTTGGTTTGAGTCCTGGTTCAATAGTTCCCCCTGGCTGACTACCCTGATTTCCACGCTTATAGGACCACTAGTGATCTTACTCTTAGCCCTGACATTTGGGCCCTGCATATTAAACAAACTCATAAGATTTATAAGAGACAGGGTCAGTGCTGTTCAGCTTCTGGTGCTGCAACAGCAATATCAAAGACTCGGGACAAATAATGCAGACCCAGAACTTATAAATTACCCAAAAGACGAGCAAGAGTGCTCGTCGGCGATGTAAAGGAAAGGGGGAAATGTGGGGGCGCCTCGATGGCCCTTCGGCGGCGTCTCAGTGGCACAACAAGAAAGGTATTTCCCCCCCTTCGTGTGAAGTAGGGTGAGGCAATTAGCGAACAGCACACATCTGTTTATACTCATACCTCCAGTTATCTCTTGGGTTGTGAAGAAAGGCAAAAGGGAGGTGGGATGCACAGGGATTGTGCAGAATTCAAAGAAAATTAATCACTTCAAAGGTCAGCTCATGGCCATCGCTTAATTAGTTTGTGCCTTGCTAGGGCCCTTTGGGGGGGGGATAAAAGGCACCCTGCAATTCAGGTCGGGGTCCTTGCCTGCGAGAGTGGCCACTGCGTTGGTGCTCTGGGGCATGGACCCTGGCTAGCCAGAAAATAAACCTCCTCTTGTGTGATTGCATCCTCGATGTCTCTGCTTTTCTGTCCGGTGGGGCTGTGGAAGGTCGGTCCCTAACAATGGTTCCTGAGAAAGCAATTTTACCAAAGGGAAGTGACTTGACATACTGAGACCAAAAAAGCACTCGACTTCCGAGGCCCAGAAGCCCAGCTGAAGGCACAGCTGCCGCCTCCTGCTACGTAACCGAGGGCGTGCCCCTCAGACCCGCAAGGTCTGCTTCCACATTTGGGCCCTGCTGAGGGCGTGTGAAGGTGAGGGGAGATGACCCTGGTGCCACATCCCTGTTGGCCGACAGAGCGCGTCCGGCGTGGGGCGGAGACGACGCTGAGGAGGAGCCGGGGAGGGAGGGGAGAACCGCCTTTCCAGGCGAGGACGGCGCGCTCGCCTCAGAGAGGGCTGGCCTCTCCTGCGAGGGGCCTTACGCAGCACTCGGTTTCCCGTGGCCTCGCGCCTGCAGAGTACCCGGAAGTGAACGTTCCGGCAACCCCGCGGCGGGCGGACCGGAAGCCGCGCAGCGGCGGGCACAGCTCTGAGGCGTCGCTCGCGGCGCCCAAAGGGCCCGAGCCGAGTCGTGCGCAGCCCCGACGCGGACTGGCGCTGCATAGGGCCGGGACACCGGGACAAGGCCAAAGTGCAGCCGCACGCCACGCTTCGCAATGGTGTGTCCCGAGTGTCATCGAAGTAGAGCGCAAGGAAACAGACTGAATCTTGGTCCTGCAGACCTAGAGAGACACCAAAGTGGCCTCTCACCATTTTCCCTCAATTCTAAGACACATTGTTTTCATCTTCTATTATTTCTGAAATCAGCAAGAGCCTAATCAGTGGAAAGGACCTTGCCTGCCCCTACAGGAGTGGCTCGGCACAGCGGTCTTGGTTTCCGTCTGGGCTCCTGCTGGCTCGTGTCAGGGGTGTGGCCCGTCCCGGGCTGCTGCGGCGTCCACCCTTGCGAGGCCTGACCCCGGGAGACGCTGCCAATGCCCTGACCACGCAGAAGAGGCCAACGAGGGCAGGTCCTTCCACGAGCCTGGGCTCTTCCACTGGCCTGAAATCTGGCTTTAGACCCGAACAGGGTCGATGGGGCCAGGGATGGCCCGTGTCTGGAGTGGCTCTGCATGACCAGGACCACCGCCGACCACCGTCAGAGGCCAGAGGAGGCTCAAGTGGAGGTGGAAGCTGCTGGTCGTGGCAGGAGGCTGTGGCCTGCAGAGGGCGCACAGCTGAGGAGACGCTAAGGAGGGCTGCTGTCCTGCCACCCTCAGCCTGCCACACCGCCCTGTCAGAGTCAGGACATGTGCCGTTTATTTCAGTCTCTCCCTTTTTACAGTTTTTAGATGACATATCTGATGGCATGTCATTACCTCGTCCAGGTGGTGCATTGTGCCCTTTATTAAATCAGAGTGACCCTGCTGGCCTCATTTAATGCCTGACTCTCTCAGTTCCCCGCCCTGTGTGCATGTGCACGTGTGCATGTGTGTGTACTTGCGTGTGTGCATGTGTGTGCGTGTGCACAAGCATGTTTTTCTGATCTCTTGCACATCTTTGCCATCATCTGACTTACAGTGTCCTGAGTCACCGTGTTTTGTTATTCTCTAATCGATAGCATCCACTAGGGTGCTATTTTTTTTTTTTTACCCAATATTAGATTATTTTAAAATAAGAGTCTCACAATCATGTGTATCATACAGACCAATATGTTTAATCTTATTACTGCCCGTTTCCTCTGTTTTTAACCTTTTCCTTTTGTCCCCACTGTTCTCTGTCTTCCGCAACATGACCACGTGTACGTGTAGCCATTTGCTGCACAATCACATCCCGGTCAGCAATGGGCCAAATACGCAACAGTGGTCCCGTATGATTACAGTTCCATGTTTTGCCACATCTTTTCTATGTGTAGTGCTTTTAGGCACATGACACTTACTGTGTTATAGTTGCCCTGGTGAGTACAGTCACATGCTGCCTGGCTGTGATAGGCCGTCCCTCAAAGCAAGCCCCATTGTGCAGTGGCTATTCCGTTTAGGTGGGTGCAAGTGCACTCTATGATGTTGGCACAATGACAAAGTCACCTAGGGACACATTTCTCAGAACAGTTACCTGTCGCTAAGTGACACGTGACTGCATATAAATGCACATGTTCTCTAATTATGCAAACTCTAGCAACCTGCTTTTATCCACTGAAATCACCTTTAATAAAATAGTCAACCCAATCTTCTTTAATTATCACATCAGGAGTGAAGTTATAGCCGTGCTCACAGGCACAGTGAGTTTGTGCTCTTAACAGTTAGACTTGCAACCACACACTCAAAGCCACATCTAAAGATACTTCTGCTATAAACGCTTCCCAGGTTTACTGCCTATAATAATTATGGTTTTGTTTTTTAAAATTTCCTGTATTGGCTGGCGTGGTGGCTCACGCCTGTAATCCTAGCACTCTGGGAGGCCAAGGCAGGTGGATTGCTCAAGGTCAGGAGTTCCAAACCAGCCTGAGTGAGACCCCATCTCTACTAAAAATAGAAAGAAATTAATTGGCAAACTAAAAATATATATACAAAAAATCAGTCGGGCATGGTGGCGCGTGCCTGTAGTCCCAGCTACTCGGGAGGCTGAGGCAGCAGGATTGCTTGAGCCCAGGAGTTTGAGGTTGCTGTGAGCTAGGCTGATGCCACGGCACTCACTCTAGCCTGGGCAACAAAGCGAGACTCTGTCTCAAAAAAAAAAAAAATTTCCTGTATCTAATGATATTTTGACATCTTAAATGTCTTCCTGGCCAGGGAGAGACTGCCGCCTACCCTCAGAGCAGCCAGTGCTGACAGGCAGCACAGGCCAGCGGGAGCACACCCTCCACACGTGAGCCGCCAGTCCCCAGGCTGGATCCCAAACGCCCTTGCATCCAACTCCACACACCAGGCCAGTGCTTCCTGTGCCCCAAGGCATCCTAGGGTCAGGTACCAGGCAACTGGAAACCACTCCCAAAAACCACAGCCCCCCGAAATGACTCAGACTAGCCCATCCTGATCTCCTCACTCTGCGTGCCTGGCCCATCCTGCGGGGCCCCGGTGAGGGCCCTGGCCAGGCTCTGCCCCTGCTCCTGCCTCCTGCCCAGCCCCGGTGCCTCTCCATGTGCCCCTCCATGGCGTGCTGGGCCCTTCTCTTGGGAAATGTAAGTCATAATTCTGCTTTCGATGGCACGAGCCTCACTCAGTCACCTCTGTAAATTACAGTCCCACGGGCATGAAGCAGACACTGCCTGCGATTGTTTGGGGTATTTGATCTCACTGTCTCTGAGCCAGATGCATGGCCTGGCCTTCCTGCTGGGCTCAAGCTGACAGCCTCCCCCAGCCCTGCCACCTATGGCCACCTTTGGCCGACTGAAGTCATGGAGGTGGAGAGTGGCCCACGCCCCTCCTGAGGGGTGCCCACCACACTCCGACAGGCTCTGCCAGAGGCATCCTGAGGATACTGCCATTCTCAGGAAGGTAAGACGAGAGTCAGTCCCATCTACACAACCTTAGCAGAGGCTTCCAGTAGTTTCCAGGGGAGTCTAGCAGGGGCAAGTCTGTGGTCATGTTACTACTGCATGCTGAGGTGACTTGTGGGTGTTTCTTATGATGGCCTAAGATAGAAGCCAAGGACATAACAATAAAGGAAAACAGGACAGGGCATTTCTACAAAGCACCAAACCAATGAGACCACAGCGATTCCAGAGCAAACTTCCTAGTTCCCTGCAGAGCCCAAGTGTGGGGCTGCTTTGCAAGGAGCCCTGTGGGTCCTGCATCGGGATCACCATGCAGCTTGTAAAAGGTCATGCTCAAGGCCACCACCTTGATGTATGGAATCAGGACGTCTGAGGAGAAGCCCCCAGCTTCCCTGCTGAATCCTACACACACTGGTGTCAGAACTCCTGGCATGGGGAAAGATAACTGACACTTGCTCAGGGCCTGCCCTCCCTGGACCCAGAGCTGTTTCTGACACTTTGTATGCTTAACATCATTTATCTTCCCAGTAACCCCAAGAAGTGGAAGCTGGCACCCCGGAAGCTGAGATTCAGAGCCACGGACACCCATGCTGGGCTTGCAGCACTCACCCTGCAGTCTCCGCCCACTCACCCTGCAGTCTCCGCCCACTCACCCTGCAGTCTCTGCCCACTCACCCTGCAGTCTCCCCGCACACAGAGGCTGAAGGCGTCCTTGTAGGAGCAGCGTGTCCCGTCGTGCACCATGCGCTTCATAGACACCACCTCCCCCGTCTCCTTGGACTTGCAGTACAGGTGGCATCTCTCCTTGGCTGGAAGGGAAGCAGCAAGGTGTCAGCAAGGAGCCTGGACGGCTGCCCACGTATGCAGAAGAGACACACCACGTAGGGAGAGACTCCTGAGAGGGTCTGGAACTCACCCGCCCCATGTGGCCTGCACTCCAGGGGCACCGAGAGGGGAAGGGGAGGGTGATGGCAACCCCTTTCCTGTCTGTGTCTCCTTTGACCCTGGTGGTAGGGGACTTAGGAAGACCCAACTGAGCCAGCCAGGATACAGGTGCAGCCCAGACCTCACAGTCCGAGGCCCCGCCCAGATGGAGACCTTGACTCTGTGCAGAGGCAAAGGGTGGCTTGCCAGGACTCCATCTGTAGAACCTTCTCATCCACCTTCTCGGAAATCCTGGATGAGACCAGCCTTCCATGATTCAGTCTCAGGTCCCTGGCCCTTTCACTTCTCAGCCTTTATCTCCGAGGTGGCTCTGGGCCACCACACTGCAGCCCCTCGCCCCTACAGGGGGACACCATCTACTCTGTTACCCCCCGCTCTGCACTGACCCATGTGGGGCAGGTGCTCCACTAGCCCAACACACATGGAGCGATGACTCACACCCTGGCCTCCCTCCCCTGCCCAATGCCCCACGAGGCCCGGGGGGTGAGAACCCACATGGAATACAAACACCCCAGGCCTGAGGCTACCAGACTTTTCAGTTCCTTGAGCCTTGTGATACTGAAACCAGTTGGAGTCACACGCTCTGACACTTGCAACTGAGCATCCTAATGGAGAAGGTCAGAGGCCACCTTGGCTGAGTCAGCCCCGCCTCGTCCGCCAGACCAGGACTGTGGAAGCCTGGCCCCAGCAAGCCTGCAGCCGGGTGACCCTCCCCAGCGTCCTCGGCCAAGCCCGGTATTCTGGCTGCTGTGGGATTGCAGCCCTGCCCCCATCACCCCAGCCCGGGAGGGGGCCAACACCTCACTGGCCAGGGTGGGCTTCGCTGTACCCAGTGTTGCAGCAGCCTCGCCCCACGCAGGGTCCAAGGCACAGGCCAAGGGAAGTCCCTCACCCCAGCCCCAGGCTGCCTGCTGAGCCCCGGCCGCCGCCCTCCCGCTCACCGTCCCGGTGCTCGTGGGGCACCCAGTGGTGCTGGGCATCGCCATGCTCGAAGTACAGGTCCCACTGGCGGCACTGCTCCGCGCGGAAGTCAGCCAGGGAGTCGGGGCAGTCCTGCGGGTTGCAGAGCTGGAAGTCATAGGCAAGGCCGGGGCAGGTGCGGCCGCCGTTGGCTGGGCTGGAGGAGAAAGCGAAGGCACTGCTGCATGGCGCCGCCGGAGGGAGGCCGCACTCGGGGCGCCGCTGTGGGGCTCTGGGGGCCCCTGAGTCTCAGGTGTCCGGATGGTGCAGCTCTGCTGAGCAAAGGGGCCTCACCCTGCCGCGTCCCAGCTACAGGGCCGGGCCGCTCCCAGCCTGCCGGGCCTCAGGTCGTGGAGAGCAGACCCTGCCAGCGGGGCGCTCCCGCCCGCTCCCTGGGGAGGCAGCTTCGGCTCAGCCCCTGTGCGCCCTGCGCTCGGGCAGCACGACGCTGGGCTGTGGCGGGCGCTCAGACGCTGCCTGCTCCACTGGCTAAAACCCGGGCAAGCAGGAGCTGAGCGCATCTCCTCCCACCCAGCCCTGACGCCGGCCTGGCGCACAGGGAAGGCAGCAGCCCTAGCGCGCAGCTGCGTCACAGTGTCTGGCACAGGCGACAGTTGCCGCTGGCTTCTCTCCACCTCAGGGAATGGGGGCTGTGACTCCGTGACGCGCTGGCTTCGCTGAGAACAGCAGCTATCCACAAACTGCCTCTGCGGCTCGGCTCCCCAGCGGTGTCTGCTCCCACCAGGGGAGGAGGGCAGGGCCGCCTGAAAAGGGGCTGGAGGGCACCTTTCCTGCCTCTGCCCTGGCCAGGAGGGCGGCCTGGAGCCTCAGGGCGGGCAGGCTGGAGGGGAGGAAAGGGCTCCCCGCTCATGTAGGGGTGGCGGCCCCAACACAGGCGGTCCTGTGCTGCCGGACCACATGGCCTTGGCCGCCTGCCCAGAGCCATGACTGCTGAGCCGCTCTGGCCTCCTGCTGGCTGCTCAGGGCCTGGCCAGAGACAGCAGCGCCTGAGCCGTGGGAACTGGGCAGAGGCTGGCCCAGCCAGGCGGGGCGCACCCCAGAGACTGCCCGCCAGCCCGAATCTGGGCCCAGCATTACACCTATGGTGCACGATTTGGAAGCTGGAAATCTGTTATGTTTTTAGATGCAAAATTCTAGGTTTTCAATATCTTTAGAAAAATGAAAATCTTTAAACTGGTAAAAAGGCCCAAAGAGAAAGCCTCACATGCCCAAGCAGTGCTGGAATGGCAGCAGTGGGCGGGCAAGGTCCTGGCTGCAGACTGCGGAGGGAGCGCAGCCCAGGACGTGTTTACAGCGTGGGGGATGGCAGGGGGAAGGGACCAGGAGGACGGCACCGGGACTGGGCAGAGGGCCTGCGTGGGAGAGGGCCTGCGTGCGGGGAACGTGGCTGATGGGGCGCTACAGCTGGCATTGACTTGCAGGCGGCAAGTCCTAGCCCTGCTCTACCCAGGCTCCCGGCATCTTGGGGGCCAAAAGAGGCCCCCTGTCTACCCTTGTCTCCCTGACTCTGTCCCAGCTCTCTCCTCCAAGCCCATGACCAGGAAAGACAGAGTAAGCCTGCATGGGGCGGGTTGCAGGCAGGTGGGGATGGCCCGGGCGGCTGGTCAAGAGGCCTGAGGTAGGGGCACCAGTCTCCCAGGTGGGACGGGGCAGGGCAGCCCACCCTGGCACCCTCTCCAGAATGAGCCTGGCTGGTGAGGGAGTCCTGGGACCTCAGCTGCTACTCAGGAAGGTTGGGGGGACACAAGGCCAACTCACTGTGGGTTGTCGCACTGGCGCGTCCTGAACTTCACGCCAGTGCCGCAGGTGCGTGAGCAGGAGCCAAACGGACTCCAGGCGCCCCAGTTGCCATCGCGTTTGAGGATGTCAGGCGTCAGCCAGATGCAGTGTCCTTTAAAGCAGTGCTGAAAGACAGAAAGCCGCTCCCTTGACCCACGGCTCACCCAGGGCTGCTGGGACATCCGCACTCTGCAGCCTGTAGCCCCTGTGGCTCCTGCCCTGGCCAGGCCCCGGAGGCATACAGGGAGCCTGTCCTGCTGCCCCAGCTGCTCAGAGCCCCCAGGAAGACAGGCCTCATCCCTGCCGCGCCACGGCAGCAGTGAGAGGCACAGGGAGGAGCTGCTGCCCAGCCCCCACCCCCACCGTCTGGCAGTCTTCAGCCAGGGGCTGCATGCAGCACGTCCCCAGGGGGGTACCCCAGGGCACCCACAGGGCCCATTTATAAAGATGCACCTGCACATCAGACCAACGACTCCAGAGACCACAGGAGCTACTTAAGTAGGTAAACCGTGAATGCAGCAGTGCAGCGCTACCGTGCAGGAAGCACACTCACCACCCTCCCGAGGGTGCTTCTGCATTATGGGGCCCACTTTGAGAAGACGGCAAAAGTAACAATATTAAATTAAGTATAAAATGAATATTGATTTAGAATAAGAAAATACATCACACACAAAAATTTAAAAATAGAGAACAATGATTTTTATCTGACACAACTTTTTCTACACTGCTGATGGCACCCTCTTTCATGCCCTCTTTATCACAATAATTTTGTGGCACTGTTTTCCAGAGACAGCATAAAAAAGGATGCACTCACTCCTCAGCAAACTTTTCTGTGAAAGGGCCAGATAGTAACTGTTTTCAACTTTGCAGGCTACGTGGCGTGTGCTGACTTTCTCAGCTCTGCCGCCAGGCGTGAAGGCAGCCACAGACAGCACATAAATGAATGGACACAGCTGTGAATAGACTTTTCACAAAAATAGGCAGCAAATAGAAACTTTCGGAATGGAGGTATAAAGAGGTTGGTGAACCCTCTCCCCAGTAAAACAACCATAACTGATGAAAATTACTTTTTAAAAAAACAACCATTTAAAGTCTCCAGAAATTGTCCTAAGGTCAATACAATAAATGAAGAAATATCTATTTAAGAGAAAATACTAAATGTTGAATAGAACAACAAAAGTCTACAACATTTGAGCCACAATCCCCTTCCATTCCTTCCTACATTCTCCATATAACAAAAGCTTTACTGCCAAGAAGATGGGGCTCTCTATACTCCCAGCTCCCAGTCTAGGGGCTACAGTTTCATGCCAAGAAAGGCAGGCCTCTGGCGGCTCTCATCCCTCCCAACTTTGTGTTGCAGAAAGACTATTCCCGGTGGGGTGGCCAAGAAGACTGGGGCTTCCTTCCCCCACTCATAGAGCAGAAGCTGTGCTCCAGGTGCAGCAGCCCAAGAACAGTGGACCAGATAGCCCCTTCCCCAGCTTGCTTGTAGGAAAGAGGTTCTATGCAGACAGCGGCAAGCCAAGAAGAGACGTGGCTACCATTCCCATCAAGTGGTCTGCATGTATACCAGGAGTGTCCCTCTGGGAGAAACAGGCCACTGTCCCTGCTTCTAGCTCCAGCACAGTGTTGATGGCTTGCTCAGAGGTACAGCAGAACAGAAAGCTCCACAGCGCTCTCTAAGGGGACAGACTTTTATCTGAAACAGAGCATGGGGAAGTTCATGCCTAAGGTCTTAGTCAAAAACAGTAGAAGCCAGTGAAGTGGCTCACTCCTGCAACCCAGAACTTTGGGAAGCAGAGAGGAGGGAGAATCACTTGAGGCCAGGAAAGTTTAAGACCAGCCTGGACAACACAGTGAGACCCTAATACCCTGTCTCTACAAAAAATTAAAAATTTAGCAGGTGTGGTGATGTACACCCATAGTCCCAGCTCCTTGAGAGGCTGAGGCAGGAAGATTACTTGAGCCCAGGAATTCAAGGTTACAGTGGGCTATGATCATGCCACTGCACTCCAGCCTGGGCAACAAAATAAAACAAAACAAAACAAATTAGAGATTTTGGTAGTGGGTAATTAAGAGGAGACTAATAGTTCCATGATATTAGTAGCAACAAACAAAATGATAAACTAACTATAGGTTGAGTATACCTTATCTGAAATGCTTGAAAACAGAAGTGTTTTGGATTTCAAATTTTTGGATTAAGGATACTCACCTGTAAAAGTTTTAACAGAGAGAAGCAAGGACAAAGTCAGCTAAGAGCCCTCCTCAGTTCTGAGTAAGCCTCAGAGCCTGGCAACACCCTGTCCCTATGAAAGGTCCAGAATTCAATTGGATCATATTATGGAGCAAATTAAACACCCAGGGCTTTTTCAGAAATAATACAGCAATCAGCAGTTAATGAAGCTAACAGCTGGGTGTGATGTCAATAGAGGCAGAATGCCCAGAAGCTTAAGAGAAAGGTCAGGAAAAGAGATAGAGCGCTTGGCTAATACCACTGTCCTGGGGAGGAAGGGGTAGGGCTGAGGTCAGAGGGACTCTGAGGAGCAGTATCAGTAGCTGCATACTGCAAGGGAAAAACTCCACTGAAACAGCACAGCCAAATCACTACTAAAAGAAACATGCAAACAACAGCAACAAGAAGGCCCATTCAGATCAATACCCATAGTTTATTCAATGTGGTATAGGAAATGTCCAGTTTTCAACAAAAAATCCTGAGACATGAAAAGAAATAGGAAAGTGTGACCCACACACAGAAAATTAAGCAGTTGACAGAAACTACCTTTGAGGAGGCCCAGATGTTGAACCTAGTAGGTTAAGATTTCAAAACAGCTGTTATAAGTATGTTTGAAGAACAAAAGGAAAACATGTCTAAAGAATTAAAGGAGAGTATAAAAATAATGTCTCACTGAATATAGAATACCAGTAAAGAGACAGAAATAATAATAATAGTAATAACTAAAGAGAAATTTTAGAGTTGAATAGTATAAAAACTTAAATGATAAATTTATTAGAGGGAACAATAGTGGATTTGATGTGGCAGAAGACAGAATCAGCGAACTTAAATATAGATTAATCAAAATTATGCAATCTAAAGAGCAGAGAGGAAAAAAGAATGAATAAAAATGAACAAAGCCTCTGAGAAACATGCAAAATCATTAAGCACACTGAAATATGCATGGTAGAAGTACCAGAATGAGAAGACACAGAGAAAGAAGCAGAAAAAAAAATTTAAATGACTGAAAACTTCCAAAAGTTGATGAAAAACATTAACTTACACATCCAAGAAATTTGATGAACTCCAAGTAGGGCAAATGCAAAGAGATCCACACCCAGAGACATAATAGACAAAATGTTGAAAACAGACAAAGACAAAAAGAAAATACTGAATATGGCAGAAGAAAAATGACATCATGTACAAGGAAATCCCAATAAGAATATAATGGAGGCCACAGGCAGTGGTGTCAACTAAGAATCTGACATCCAGCCAAACTAGCTATCAAAAATGAAGGCGAAATAAAGATACTCCCAGATAAACAAAAAAAGAATTCACTGCTAGCTATATAAGAAATACTAAAGGAAATACTTCAGGCTGAATGCAAGTAACACCAGGGAATAAATCAAATACCAGTGGGGAAAAAAAAAATCACTGGAATGGACAAACTTCTAGAAAGACACAAACTACCAAAGCTGAATTAATACAATATAGGAAATCTGTATAGATCTCTAACAAATAAAGAAATTGAATTAGTAATGTAAAAGCTTCCCACAAACAAAAACCCAAGCCTATGTGGCTTCACTAGTGAATTATACCAAACATTTAAAGAAAAATTAATACTAATTGCTCAGAAACTCTTCTGAAAAATAGAAAAGCAGAATTCTCAACTCATTCCCTGAGGCTAGTCTTACCCTGATATCAATACCAAAGACATCACAAGAAAAGAAAACTATAGACCAATATCTCCTATGAATATAGAAGTAAAAATCCTTACCAAAATACTAGCAAACTGAATCCAAGAACATATTGAAAGGATCATACATCATGACCAAGCGGGATTTATCCCAGAAATGTAGTTTAACCTTTGAAAATCAATGTAATAATCCTATTTACAGAATTAACACACAAACCCCATGACCATCTTGAGACTCAAAAAATCACTTAGCAAATGATCCTTCATCATTTTATGAAAAAAACACTGAATAGACCAGGAATAGAAGAGAACTTCCCCAATCTGAGAAAGGAAATCTATGAATTACCCACAGCTAACATCATGCTTAGTGGTAAAAGACTGACTACATCTCCCCTATGTCTTTATCGGTTTGTACTGAAAACTAGGTAATTTATAAATAGTAAAAATTTATTTCTCACAGTTCTGGAGGCTGGGGAGTCCAATATCGAGGCACCAGCAGATTCAACGTCTGGTGAGGACTGGCTCTCTCTGCTTCCAAGGTGGACCTCTGGAGGGCTGACACTGAGTCTCACGTGGCAGAAAGGGTGAAAGTGAAGGAGAGTCCTGGCCGGGGTGGGGACCTGTGGCCTTCTGGTTTCAAGATTGTTATTTTTTAAACACTAAAGGAGGCAAAAAAGGTTCATCCTTTTTTGCTACAGCCCTTTTAATGAGAGGATTTGTTCTGTAAAATTTGGATTCAGTCAAAAGGCTGCACTTAAGGACCTAGAAGGCCACAGGTTCCCCACCCCTGCCAGTGGTAGCCCTTTTACAAGGCCACTAATCCCATCCAGGAGGATGGAGCCCTCATGGCCTAAGCACCTCCTCAAGGACCCATCTCTTAATACTGTTGCTTTTGGAATAAAGTTTCAACATGAATTTTGGAGGGGACACAAACATTTAAACCAGAGCACCCTATAATCAGGAAGAAGATAAGACATCTGCTTATACCAGAGCACCTTATAATCAGGAAGAAGATAAGGACATCTGCTTATGCCATTTCTACTCAACATTGTAATGGAAGTTGTAGAAAGGACAAGTAGGCAAGAAAAGGAAATAAAAGGCATCCATACTGGAAAGGAAGAAGTAAAACTGTCTCTGTTTGCAGACAACATAGTCATCTATACAGATAATTCCAAGGAATCCCCTAAGAAAACTAACAGTTCACAAACAAATTCAGT